AGAGGACCCCCAAGGACCCCTTTTATAGGAACTTGGGGGACGTTTCCCCATTCATTAGCGTGGGGCCCACCTCATTATGGTGCCCTATTGAAGGGTGCCATAATGATGTGGGCCCTCCCAAGTAACGGCTGGGAATCGGCGACTCAGGTATGGGAGTCGCCGATTCAGAGGTGGAGTCGCCGACTCCCCATGAGCCAAGTTGGCAGTCTACCATAACTGACCACGAGGCCTAGAGTCGGCGATTCACCCCTGGAGTCGGCGACTTGGTAGTCCCAGTCGGCGATTCCCAGGTGTTTCCTTGAGTACATGACGTAGACACTTCCTCCGCATTTGTGGAACTCTCCGGGGGTCCGGAATAAAGCGACGGAACCTTAATCCTTGTTGAAGGGCGTTGATGGGAGTGACTGACGTGATCAGGCATGTTTCACCAGTACTCCCCCTGAAGAGAGCATGGCAAAACACCCGTGTACCGCCAGTATCCCCCCCAAGCAAGGTGATCCGCATCAAGGCCAAAGCGACAAGATGGGATTGATTCACTATCAGAATCTAGTTTCAGGCCAACGGAACTACATGTTTATAGTCCTACTCTGATCAGGAGCGACTTTTGCTGTGGATTCTGGCCGAAGCGACAGAATGCGTGGATTCACTATTAGAATCTGATTCTGGCCGAAGCAACAGAATGCGTGGATTCACTATTAGAATCGGGTTCTGGCCGAAGCGACAGAATGTGTGGATTCTGGCCGAAGCGACATAATGCGTGGATTCCGGCCGAAGCGACAGAATCTAGTTCACTATCAGAACTGATGTTTATAGTCCACTCTGATCAAGAGCGACTTTACGTCCGCAACGACGGTTATCCCATAGGCCAAAGCGCAAGATGGGTCGAGATCATTAAGGCCAAAGCGACAAAATGATCTCCAAGTGTTTGAAGAATTATTGAAGCCAAAGCGACAACATAATTCTTGGTCCATTAAGGCCAAAGCGACAAAATGGACCTGAATCTATTAAGGCCAAAGAGACAAAAAAGATCCGATTCTGGCCGAAGCGACAGAATCATGCCTGCAAAACAAAAAACAACCTGCAAAACAACTGTATCAGTCTAAAGGATATATTTATGGATTTACTGACCTTGCCGTGCGGGGCTGCTCCTCCCTATGCTCAATAAATCCTTGATTGATCTGGCCGGAGCGACAGATCTATCATGTTCATAATGTGACAGCTTCTGGTCAAAGCGACAGAAGTGTCGGGAAGAGCTTATGATACTCCCCCCCGAGTTCGACGACTTCTGGCCGAAGCGACGGAAGTGTCGGGAAGAGCTTGTGATACTCCCCCCTTGAGATCATTAAGGCTGAAGCGTCAAAATGACCTCTGGTCTACTAAGGCCGAAGCGACGAAGCAGACCGACTCACTATCAGAGTATGATTATGACCAAGGCTACAGATCCACTATCAGGATCCGATTCTCGCCTCGAATACAGAACCTGCTGATTCACTATTAGAATCTGATTCCTGTCGAGGCTACAGATTCACTATCAGAATCCGATCCTAGCCCGGACTACGAAATCTTTACCTGCAAAAAAGGAAAACACTCTGCAAAACAACTAGATTAGTCCATAAACGCATATATTTATTATTGAACTTACCGTGCGATTTACCTTTCGTGATGGCCTTCCTTTGCTCAAATTTGTTCTTGGTAAATCTGG